ATCTTGAGAATCTTTCTCAAGACTTTATTATTATATCATTTTCCCAATATTATAATAATCATATTATTATTATTTTGGATTTTTGAAATTTAAAATCCTATTTTAAAATTCAACTTTATTAATTTAGTAATTACCTTAATTACTAAAGTAATATCCAAAATGTAATTAATCAATCTTATTGATTAATATATTCCTTTAATTGATATCTAATCAAATTAGATATTTATCAATTAATTCTAACCATTAGAAATACAATCTTTACCTTTGTTCATAATTAGTGTGACCTTTTAGGTTCACCTTAATACTAGTAGTGGGTTTACAACACTTTGTAATTTGAGTTAAATCTTATTAACTCTTATTCATGAATTAACCCTTTAATTTATGAACCCACATATCATGGTAACACCTAGCAAGTAGCATGAATCTAGTATTAAGTGAATAGCGAGTAAACCTATTCCGATTACAACTCCATACATGTAAAATCCTTTCGACATCTAATTTCCCGATTAAGTCTTGGGTATGATTTTGTCGAAACCCAAATTGACTTAATAACTATGATTCTATTTCATGTTTATTAACCCGGTTATGAATCACTATTCATCTCTGCCTTGGCCAAGGACTTTGGATTAATAACTATGAAACACATAGGAAATTCACTTATCTTCATAAGTGTCGAATCCTTTATTGGCCACTAACAAACTTCCATACATATTAACATAATACCCAACTTATCCCTTTAAACGATAGTGCTAGCTACCAAAAGGATAAATCAAAGTAGAATGTAATATGCACAAAGTTACCATTGTGCCTCAAGTCTTAGGATTAGTCATGTACTATTGTAACATGAAAATTCTTATTCGACTGAATAAATTCTTCATTAAGAATTTTCATACGGTCATGTTCAGTGAACTTGTTCTCTAACAAGCACCCACATAAATGTACTTACGTCTTACGCTAATGTTGATGGAATGCAACATTCTTGTCCAACAAGCATACAAACTATGTGCAAGTCTTTTATGGATTATTCGATATCCCATCTCGAAACATCCATCGACTTGGAACTGTATTTAAGATCACGGCTTTCAAGGTATGTTCCATGATCACCATCTCTATGCGCAACCATACCTTATAACCATAAGTGATCTAGGGATTTTATCTTAAGTGCAATTATAAGATAAATGCTTTCTCTTAAGATAAAGAAATGCCTTATTCATAATATAATTCCAATAGACTGTATTTACAAGTAGAATACGTCCAATTAGATTGGAACGCCGGGTACCCTACTCTAACACTAACCATGTGCCCTCCACATACCGTATCACCTCTGGAGACTTCGAATATTTTGTGTGCAGCTTGGCAACGGCATCGGTGTAGGCATCGAACGTACTGGCCTCTGCAATCGCCTTCCACGTACTGTGCTTGAAAATCTCCGAGAATTTTTTAGTCTCCCAAATAGTTTGTAGTCTCTGGCTTCCACATCCTGGTTGATGTTCCACATGCAGAGTAAGTGGGCTGATTCAGTAAAATGCCTCTGAATAGGAGTGAGTAAACCCAACTCTCTGTCACTGACAACAACATAAGGATATACGTCTTGGCCTATCAGTAGTCTCAACTTCTCTAGAACCCAGTCGTAACTGACCTCTTTCTAATCCCTGATGAGCGTATACGCAATTAGGAAGTTTTGGTTGCACGGCGTCATCCCAATCATCTCGACCAACGACATCTTGTACCTGTGCAAATGAGACCAAGAAGACAAAAAATATAATCAAATAAAAGTTTACTTAATCAAACACACTATTTAAGATTCATACTAATAAGTATTTATAAAGCAACATACCTGTTGGTTTTATACGTGGAATCTATGCCGACATACCAGTGATATGTCCGGAATAGATTGATCGACGCAGGATGGGCCATGAATATATGTGTCAACGCTTTCGTGTTCGGATCGGATTCTGCATAAACTGTATACTCGCTGCTCACGGCCAAATGCATAAGCTGGGAAGGAACATCTCTACCGTCGAAACTCTCTTTCCGCTGCTTATCTCTAAAGTTATATACCTGTCACCGATTAGCGTTAATTATAATGATTATTATAATTTAAAAAAAAAATATTATGTTAATAAATAAAAAAGTATATCAATGCGATTAATTTGATAAAAAAAAATTAACTATCACAATAATAATACATTAGTAAATATAATAAAATTTATTAATTATTACAATAACTTTTACATATAAAATATTACTAATTATCATAATTAACTTCAAAAAGTTAATTAAAACATATATTACAAGATATAAATATATATACCTGTCGCACATGAACGTTGTCTCCCGGATTCTTTTCCTTCAGCGCGGCCATAATTTTTTCTGGGGCCACCTAAGCGTCCGTTATATCACGAACAATTTTCTTAGATGAAGCGCTGAGGCAGCTCAACTGGAGATGACCCTCAGGATACATAACAAATGTATGGTTATGGTAGCATTTCTCTTCATTGCTACATCTACAGATCCTCCAGTATGGAACGCCGGACACCTTTTTTACTTTGATCTCAAAATTGCAGCCGCACTTATTCGTTTTTGTCATATAATGTCCTTATTATTATTATTTACAAATATTATAGAAGTTCTTCTTTTATTGTATGTAATAAAAAATATTTAGTGTATGTTAATATTATTTATTAATATAATTAATTCAAAATCAACGTAAATTTTAACATTAATTATTGTGTATATATGTTATACAAAATATATACACGTGCTTCTATACAATTTTTTGTATTTAAAATACAAAAGAAAAAAAAATGCCACCTAAACTGAGCAAGAAAAGCTTACATACTACAATATATCATAGGATGAATGAATGCACTAATTTTTTCCACAAATAGGACTGAAATTTCGAATAGTGAATAAGAAAAAACAATTTTAATAACATCATCCAAATTTATATTAGGAGTACGAAATTTCGAATTTAATTTACCAAAAACAAAAATTGCTATGTGTTTTGAGGGAATTGCTTAAATTCCAAAGCACATGAGTATCTTTGAGATTGAGATGGGGTTTCGAGCTTATACGAAAACCGAGTTGGAGTTTGAATTTGCATCCACGACAATTAAATGCATTGAAATAACATAGAACAAAAGATACTAGTGAAATGATTAACTTCGCCTACTAAGAATTTAAATATTTTGGCATGATTAAATTTCAATATGTTGCAAATTAACCTCAGTAACAAAAAATACTCTAAACTAATCGTACCACTTTTTGAAAAAAAAATAAAAAATATGTGAAGTATGCCTTAATGAAATTCGATATAATAAATTATCAAAGTAAAGTAATACATTATTTATAATGCTCCATTTTGATTTTAAAGAAATTTCAGACTTCTAAAAAAATCAATTTAAAATTTTCGAACTTATTTCAAAAAAATTTATGGCCTTACTCAATTTCAAAAATCAAACATCAATAGTCGATATAATTCCAATCATAAATTCAACTCCCAAAACGGGTTTCCTCATAATATCATCAATCACCCAAATCGGGTTCCAACTGTCATCATAGTATCTAAGGAGCAACTCCTTAACATTATTCAATCATAATAATATTCATAAATTCTTAGAATCCATAAATCAAAAATTCAATATTATCCAAAGTTCATAAATAATAAAATCAGTTCATAATGCGGAAGCATAACCAATAATAAACCGGTCTCATAGACTGACTACCACTCACTCTACTCCGCCGTCGTGCCCGCCTTGCTTAACCTGAAACGTTAATTTCAGGTGGGAGTGAGCACAGATGGAAACCGTAGTGCTCACCACTATGCAGTAAACATTAATCAATATATAAAAGCAGTAATCATAAATAAGTCAGGTATGGTCGCAGCATGTATACGAATCAATTCATTATCCCAATCTCCCATCATAAATCATAAATCAAGAATTATGTGCACACCTACGCATAGACTACTGTCGACTATATATTGAAAGCCACGGCCCTAGCCTTCTGGTCTTACAACGAGTGTCCAGCCAGTAGGAGTAAAACCACCTCGCCTTGGTCTTACCAACGGGGATCACCAGCCGAGGGATCCAAGCCCTGGTCTTACGGCTCTCAAAAGAATACTACCCAGCAGGTACGTTCTATAGCTACGGGGATAACCGTTCGACGACCGGTACAGCTCACATCGAAAGCTACATGGTTCACATGCATACATTGACCATACCACAAGCAGTCATTTATAACATTTACAACATAGCAATTTTAGAATAACGAACCCACCTGGTATTCCGGAATGGCAAAACACAACAAGTAGTGGAACGTAGGTCGAGGCTCGCTCCTCAAACACCTACATTTAATCAGATAATTATCCTAAATAAATTATCTCAATAACTCGAAATTCTCACTTAAGTAGAAATATCAAAAATTAATCTAAGAAAAAATTATTAAAATAATTTTAACATTGATTAAGAATAATTACCGCTCTTCGGGAATCGATAAATAAGGAGATGCGGTTCGAATTTTTTACGGGTTGGATCAATGCTCCTTCCGGTACCCACTTTGATTAAGTCCACACTATTTCTTCATTGGCCCATTCGTTTTCTCTTATTATCCAACTTATTCTTTAGTTTTTTCAGCCCAAACCACTATGGGCCCAATTCACCAAAACCCAAATCCATCCTCACTTTTTATTTTCTTTTCCCTTTTCTTTTTATTTCTCTCTCTCCTTTTATTTCCCGTCCTTATTTCTTCTTCATCCCAAAATCGATTTTTGCAGATCCACAAATTTCTGCTCCCAATTCTCCTCTTTTCTTTCACAGCATACACGAAATTCCCCAAATAAAATCAAAGAATCGATCAGCCACCCTCAATTTCGGATTTGAGAAAGTCCAATTCGGCGGCGGCGGCGGCGGTGGCTTGGAACCCTTGGAGGCCGGTCGCGCGCACGGTTGAGGGTTCTCGGTTGCCGCCGGCGATGGGGGTTGTTCGCTTGTGAACAGATGGCGGTCAATCACCGTCTTCTCGACCTGAACTCCCAGGTTCGCCACTGATTTTCAGATTTTCGGCGCTGTTCACAAGGCTGGAGGACGGGACTCCTGGGCGACGGCGATTCGCGTCTATGCGAGTGCCGGCGGGTTCGTTGCAGAGAAACGGCGGAGGCGGCTGAGAGGAGTAACGGCGTGGGGGTGGGTTGGTCGGGGACTCGCTGCTGCATCGCGGCTGAGTAGGGTTGTTGGCGGACAGGGAGGACGCGCAAACGGCGGGGCTGCACGGCGGAGGCTGGCCGGAGAATCGGTCGGACTGGTGTTGTTCTCGGAGGTGGTGATGACGGGCGGTGAACGCCGGCGAAGCTGCTCGAAGGGCAAGGGCTGAACGTCGAACGGGAAAAAGCCGCTGCTAAGTGGCGATGGCTTTGTGCTTTCTTCTCCGGCAAGACCGACGACTCGCAAATTGAACAAGGAAGGGTGACGGGGTCTGAGATTTTGAACAGGGCCCGGCTGATTGAAACTCCCGACTCACTTGATGTTAAGCGGCGATGACGACGTGCGCGATCGAGGGAATGATTTGGTCGAGCACAAATCTGCGATTTTTGGGCGAAGAACCATGGTATTCAGATCGATTTTCAAAGGCTCTGAAATTCAGATGTTGGGACCGACCAAACGAGGAAGAAGAATCTGATTTTCTTTTGATCGACTATGGGCAGCAAATGGCCGAGATATAATGGTCAGAGACAAGTCCACACTGTGTCTATTTTGGACTCTAAGTACAAACCCAAACACTCATCATTTGTCTTACTTTAATTTTTTTTAATGAATAAAACATATTAGAGCATTTCTATTGGTTGGCATGTATGCTAGACCTAGTCTTTTTTATTTTTGGATTGCAAAATTTTTGAGTTTTTTTACTTAGGTTTGTCCATGTCATTTAAAACTCAAGTCTAATTATATGCCACATATACAAAAAGAGAGGCAAAGGCAGACTCGGTCGCTGGAAAAGAGAAATGTTAAAGCTGCTGGATCTTTCTTGATGTGGGCCAAGACAAAGAAAAAGGAACACAATTGGGCCAATGCATTAATGAAAGAGTTGGGTCCAAAATTAATAAATGGAAATTGGTCAATTACAAATCTATACTTATATTAAAGGGAGTCTTATTTACTAAATTAAGTAGTCAGAAAAGTCAACATCATTTATTACATTATTATTTTTGTATTATACAATCTATACTTATATAAAAGGAGATTCTATTTACTATATTTACTATACAGAAAAAGTCAACTGCATTAAATGCTATTACTATTTTGGTATTATAATATTTTATTTATTTAATTGATTTATTTATTTTTTTTTTTATTTTAAAAAGGTAAGTATAATAAAGAGATTTTAATAATAAAAAAATCAAATGCCAAATAAAAATGTGCACTTTGACTTACTTGATTATATTTGGTATTTGATTATACCAAATATATTCTTATTTAGTATATACATTAAATACTGACTAAAGTATTTATTTGTTTTATTTGTTAAAGTTAAGTATAGATTTGTTTATATTATCAAATCATAAAAAAATATTAAATCCATATTGAAAAAAAAAATCATTTAATTTTATAACAATTCTACTACACTATTTAACAGTATTCCTTTTTTATTATATAATAAAATAATAATTAAATATTATATGGTGAACAACAATAAGTAAAATTGTTACTTTCTCTTATATCAAGGGATAAATTTATATGCTAAAATTAAATTTTTATTAGTATAAATGTTTTAATGAGATAATATATTAATTATTTTACAAGCTAGCCCTAACATGCTCATATTTAATGTTTTAAAAGATGTAAGAAAAAAACTTATAATAACTCTATTGTTTTTTAGACTTAAACATTGATTAAAAGAGATAAAAATTCCTAATTTTTTAGACTTAAACGTTGATTAACACCATAGATTGAGAGTTTATATTTAGTAAAATTCCTAATTGTAATAAAAAATTAATTTTTGCTATATTTTAGAATATCTTTAAATTCATTATAAAAAAAAAAAAAAAAAAAAACTTCAATGAAAAAAGCAAGTCAGCTATATATCGATTTGTTGTACTCCTCAAATCGCATTCACAATTTGGCTACAAGGAAAGGAAATTATTGACTAAAATATTATTTTGTCAGTAGTCTTAATGTACAAGAGACTTTAAGACTCCACTTGAATATTATATTACTTTTATTGAACATTGTACAATTTTCATGCATATTATAAACTTTTTTTGAATATTGCATCTTATAATATAATATTCTCCAAATAAACATATCCCGTATTTCGCACGAGTCACGTACTATATATATCCCGTACATATTTCTTTATTCATGTATATAATTATAAGCCTGGATAAATAGCCTTAAAATTGTGCACCCCGTGCATCGCACGGGCTCTGTACTAGTAATTAGTGTTGCCCAAATTCAAGTCTTTACAATTGGACTGGAAATAAATTATAAAAGGGCTGAAATTTAATAGCACATAAAGGTCGAAAATAATTCAACTTGGGTCGAAACAAAATTATTCGAAAGGACCGAAAATATTCCCGATAAATTGGCCGATAGAAAAATAACGCGATAACAAGGATTCCCGATTGATTCGACTTACAACGAAAAATAAATAGAATTATACGACTTATTATTAATTAGACAACATCTAATTACATAATAATAAGTCTAAATGAAAAATGTCAAGCAATTACCGAAATAAAATATAAAATATGATAAATAATTCAGAAAAATCCATAATTGAAACGGATTATATTCGGTTCACACGATTAAACCAAAATCACCGAACAACGAACATTTTAAAATAAAACGATCGAGTACTTCAACATAGAATTTAAGTTGACATCGCGACTAGTACCATAAATATAAGCATATAAATAAAATTCGATAAATAGAATAATTCAGGAAATTCTATAAATCGAACGGGGCGCTACATTAATCACCCTTTTGAAACTAACTATTGCAAATTATGCTCGATAACAAAAAGATACTCTACATTGATCATACCACTTTTCGAAATAAATATGTGAATGATGACTTACCAAATTCAATAAAATATTATCAAATTCATAAATATATAATATATATTTATATAGGGTCGCGCTCCGGTGAGAATGGTGCTTAATGAAAGAAATAAGAATACATCGTAGCCATTAGATCGCATGATCCAACAGCTTGTAAAATACAAAAAATACACCTTCATTAAGGACGTTAAAGTAATTTTTACACTACAATCAAACAACATTAAATATGGCTGCTACCTAACCTTACCCACTAGTCACCCAACCACCCCACCTATCCCTCTCTCTCTCTCTCTCGCACGCACACACAACATATATACACATTCACCGCCCCACCACCAGACCGACCACCGGCGGCCATCGCTTCAGTTCCGGCGGCCGTCGCTCCGTGTCTATCCCCGTCGTCGGACGCGGCACATGATTACTGCACGTCATCCGTCGACCATGTCCGGCGCCGTCACCGGACGCGGAACAAAAAACGCGGACAGACTGCCGCAAAAAAGACTCCCCGGCCGCTCACTCACCGGCGTTTGCCCATCGATGGCGGCGGATACTACAACAGCAACAATCGACTACGGTGACATGCTCCAAAGGTCTAGCCTCCCCGTCGACTGCCGACGAGCCGTTGCAGGTATATCTCTGTAATGCCCCGTTTAATTGTGGATTATTTGAATTATTATTATTATTATTATTATTACTATTATTATTATTATTATTATTATTATTATTATTATTGTGATATTATTAATTATTTCTTGCCAAATTGAATGTCTAAATGTCGTTAATTGCTTAATTGTATATTTTGATTATTACTATTTATTTTAAAAAAAAATAAAATTAATGCGTATAAATATTATCTGGAATTTATTTTTTTAATCGTGCGATTAAACCGAGCCCGATAACCGAATTATTTGGCAAAAACCCGTATGAACTGGCCCAACCGAACCGGCCCGCGAGCCTAACCCGCCCCAAGATCCGGTTTCTCTATTTATGTGGGCGTGTGTGTTTGTGAATTTTGTCTTCAAGTCAATAAATTATTAAACCTAATCATATATATATGTATTCTTGTATCTATCTATCTCTCTTTGGTTCAAAAACAAAATGCCGCAGCCCTCAATCTCTCTCGCTCTGTCGTCAATTCCTCTCTCACCACAAAACCATCCCTTCTCTCTCTCTCTCTTAATCCGATCGTCCATCGCCATCAAATCTTCTCCTCCCTCGCGCTTGATTTCCAGATCGCGACCAACATTCCGGCGAGACCACCTCTGCAATCAACCGTCACGCCGTGCAACTTCTCCTCCTGTCGCGAGGCTAACTTCCATAGCCGCTGCAATCCCAGTGACGAGAGCTCCCCCTCCGACAGGCTACTCAGCCGCGACCAACCTTCGCAAGCCCTCCTCCGGCGAGAAAGCCCTAGCCCTGCCGACGTGAAGGAACTCCGTGAGCTCTCCTCTCCTACGAACCAACCCGGCGACCCCCTGTCCGCGAGTTTTTCCCCTCCGCGAGCACCCTCCTTGAACAGACCTGCAACCCCGATGACGAGCCTGCTCATCCTCTGTCCGTGAGCCCGTCCCCCGCCGCCCACAACCACCGTGAGCAGACCCGTCTTCCTCTGCTCGTTTTTCGGCGACCACACCTGCAACTCCGGGCCCTCCTCCGCGAACGATGAGCCTCACCACAGCGGCATCCTTTATAGCCGTGAGTCGCTGTCCACGAGCCGCTGCTCCTCCTCGATCGCCTCTCCGCCGCTGCTCCTCCGTGAGTCCACCGGCGAGCCGAGCCTGAGCCGTCGAGCCCGTCGTGCCGTTCGCATCCGTTCGAACCATTCTCGCGTTTCCCGAGAACGGTACCTCGTCGTTTTTCCGTCTCGTTTTATTCGTATATGTTTTATTTCGTTGAATGTTTTCGTATAGTACTCGTTGATTATTGATGTGAATATATTGATGTGAATTTGTGCGACTATACATTGTGATGATTTCTTTTTGTGTTCGTATGTTCGGGATCTCTTTGATTTTCTCAAAAATCGAACGAGACTTCGAAAGTCGTGTAAGTCGGTGGATAATGGAACAATGTCGAGTCCTTGGTCTTATGAAAAGGCCTCGGACGAGAAATTTTAAGTTGTGATTTAATTGCCAAGTTGTCGAGTTTGTAAATTGCTGTTTCGGTGTTCGAATTTTTAAAAATAGCTCACTGCTCGAAACGATGTGAAATTTTGAGGGATGTGTTATCTGCTCATTGCCTGCCTTGTGTAAAAATTTCGTAATTTTTGGAGGCCTGTAGCTATTTTTAATAATTAAATTGTGTTCTGTCCAGAATATTGTTAAATGCATCATAAATTCATGCTTGACTGAAAGGAGCTGAAATTCAAATATGTCATGCCTCTGTGACTTATATGTGTTGTGTTAAAGTTTTAGAATTTTTGGAGTTGATTTGATATGGGTAATATTTTATTTATTGAATCTGCACAATTGTTGTTTGAATTTTTAAAAATCGGTTACTGCATGGAAAAATCTGAAATTTTACTGAGAGGCATATTTTACGTGTTTAATT